AAAAAAAAAAAAATCCAAAAAAGCTTTGTATTTATATTTTGAATATTTTTATGTCACACGTATTTGGTAAAAATAACAGTATTTAGAGCCAGGGGCATATTTTTATCCAAAAGGATAACCAGAGAGAGAGGCTTTTATGATGTTAAAGAAAAGAGACGTTGAAGTGCTGCATACATTCAGTCGTGCTCTGTTGGGGAGATTCAATGATTTTAATAAGAGAAACCCTATCATACCGCCTGCCCTCTGCCGTGTTTGGCATTGGAGTCTCTGCCTTGGAGCTGCAGACATGCCTTAAGCTCTCTCGTTTTTTCTGTGCCTCTGATCCTACTTGCATTGGTTTTCCCTGGGAACTTCAAACCTTAATTCTTTAGCTCTTTCCATTTTGAAAATACTAGTTAAGTGTTTGTCTTTAAAATGCTAAATGAAATTAGTACAAAATGCTGTATTTCAAGTCATACAATAGAATACAGCTTTATGCTTGCTTATGAATGAATTCAAGAATTACCACTGGACTAGCTAGCATTCCTCTCCTGCACCAGGGTCCCTCATTCTCTGCAGGACTATTTCTTAGCACAGTCTTAGGGTTTTGTGCTTAGAAAGTGCTCCTCAGCAGTGAAGAATCATGCAATGCTCGAGACTAAGGGAGAGATGACTTTTCTATGCTTTTTCTCTGATGTGTGAATGTTTAGAGCTTTTCTTGGTTGGGGCAGAGGGAATTCTCTTTCATGATCAGATATGTCAAATGTAAATTTCCCCTCTGGCAGCAGTGATGCCAGCTTCTACTGGTACAAAGTAGTGACTGACTCAGGCTAATGGTTCTTTCTCTCTCTCCTCCTGGCTGCAGTGGCTGTTTGGTGCCCACTCACCGCTGATGGGACTGTCTCCCTCCTCCACTGTGGAGCTCCTGCCCATTTTCCCCTATGTCTGCCCGTCTGCTCTGCCACCCCCTGTTGGAAAAAGTTGGATAGACAAAAGGATACCTAATTGTAAGGTAAAAAATGCAAGCCATTTAATTGAATTAATGGGCTTTTAATTATTAAGTTGTGGGCTATTTCCATGACAACAGGAAACAATGGGCATTTTCTAATTGTGGTAGATTGACCATCTAGGTATAGCATGAGATCTTTTCAGAATGACATTGATCAGTTCGAAAGCACCAGGCGGCAGAGAGCAGTTCGTTTTCACTTAAAGCATGTGGATGGCACAGGGTGATGTGAAATTTTTCCACTCTTGAATCAGGACCTTTTTATAACAAAGTTTCAATGGTCAGCTTTCAAATCTGTCGCCATGGATCAGAATCTAGTCTTACCCGTTACATAATGAAAATTCCAAATTTCCAATGAATTCTTATTTTATTATTATTTATTTATGTTTGGCGACTGTTGCTTTGAGATTTTATACTCCTGATTGTTAATCTTGGCTTTTGAATTTAAATTTATTGGCGGCACTTTGCTCATTAGAAAACTAAAGAAAGTCCTATGTTGGCTTTTTCTGCAATGTGCTAATTACCTTTTTGGTGTGACTCTAATCTGTAAACTAGTTGCTGGGTGAATGAAGTCAACAGTTCAAGACACTTCAGGAGACTAACTAGGAGGCAGTTGGTAAAGAGGCCCATGGATCTTTCTTTCAATTCTAGAATGAATATATTATGCCATCCCCAATCATAAAAAGTGCAAGCTGTGGGATCAGTGTAGATGAGGCAGACACATTCTTTGTAGCTGTTAGTGCTCACCATGTGCCTGGCCTAAAATGCCATACTTGCTTCATTTTTGGACAGATCATTTTTAATAATTCTTTTGCTCTGGACTCAACATGGGTGCATCCTGAGGAATCCAGATTGTTCCATGGGCATGAGAAGCCTCATTTGCTGGCAAATCAAGTAGCAGTGTCTCTGTCCAGGCCAGTTCCTGCCTCTAGGCCTCTTCCCACCGTGCTTTTCACTCCTCAGTCTATTCCAGGTGAGTGACCAAGTGATGGTGACTGTGTGCTTTCCTTTTCTGTGGTCTTAAGTCAGTTTTAGATAAGAAAACTCTATTTTTCATTCCTATGAAACAGTTCTTTCAGTAGAATGTGATTACTTTTTACAGGCATGATTATTTTTATGAAGTCATTGAGTCTGGATGGCTCACCCACTATTCCTCAGGACAATAGGCTCTGTTTTTAAGATGCAGAGATGGCTGAGGGCGTTGATGTGGCATTATATTGTCATCATTCTCTGTGCAAAACTGGAGCATGCTTCTCTGGTAGCTCTTAGTCAAGGCTGGTGGACCAGTGAGCTCATTACATGTGCTGGGGCTCATAGGTGCAGATGGGGTTTATGTGGATGCCTGTGTTGACATCAAGGGTGATGGTAGAGAAGACGCTCGGATAGTTTCCTCTTTGGAAGATGGGCTTTGTTCTGTCTTTGGAGTCTGGTGACCTAAAAGGCTCCTTGAATAGACTCATGAAACAATCTTTGGATGAAAGATTGTATAATAAGCCTATCTAACAACAGGAGGATAAAGTCATCTTATGAATTTTTAAATTGATTCTTAAAATCGCCTGAACATACAATCACATTATAAAAGCAAATGCAGCCCGTGCCAGATGATCTTGCAACACCTTCCATTATGGAATATTTTATGAGTTCAGAATTTCATTCTCTTCCCGTAATTTCCTACCTCCCGAGCTTGTCTCAACGTTGGCTCTGAACTTCCGTCAGAAGGAGAGGCTCCTGTGGACAATGTGGTGCTGGTTTAGGGGATGCATTTGTTCTCCAGTTTGCCTACGTTCTTTATCCTAATTTGCTATGAATGTTGTTTAGAGATAAGTCAGGAAGAACAACTCGGCCATTGGTGGTGGTGTTTTTTACAGAACTTAATGATTCTTGACTGAAACTTCTGTCCTTGTAATTGTGCGTTACTGATAATTACCATGGCATGTGCCTCATACAGGCATACATGTGGAAACATTCTACACTGAGATGGTTGTGTTTCTATTTAACGGGAATGATGATGAAAGATGGTTAGACAACATGTCTGGGGACGGTTCTTCTGGCCCACGACAGGACAGTGTTTTAATTTCCCAAAGTACTGGCAGTAACTATTACAAAAATGATCAGCAAATTCCGTTTAAAACATAATGAAATCAGCCCACCTGTTCCGATGAAATTTCTGAGTGAACTTCCCGTCTCCTCTCAGTAGGCACTTGCCTATCATATAGACATTTCCCAGCGTGACTTAATCCTCTTCTTAGGAAACATGGACTATTAAAATGCTAACTATCTATTTAGCTGGAGAAGCTTATGTCAACTTACAGGTTTTCCAGCATTGCTTTCTTACTACCGCGTGGCAAATACTTAATACTTCACTGAAAGCGTATTATTCATACAGAGTTTTCCTTTTTGACTACTTTTTAAAAAGGATGCAATAAAGTAACCTTATTAACATGGGTGACAACCTTTCATTCTGACCTAGTCTACCATTTGTGAAATCTCTGCTTCTGTCCTTCTCTGAGTTCTTGACTCATGAACCACAAGCGAACACAGTGCCGGAAGTGGTTCTTAACCTATTTCGGGGAGAAATGTGCCTCCTCTCAAGTTCGTTGAATGGCAGGAAATGTGCTTGTTTTGAAATGTGAGTTTCCCATTTGCCTCATGACAAACCCGGTTTTTGATGAAGTACAGAATTGCTAGCCATTATCCAGCTCGCAAGCACGGATGGTGAATACTCCTTAGAAGCCAGACCCTGCGGAAGGGTTCTTTAGCATAGCTTGTTGTTGTTGTTGTTAGGGCCGTTGAGTTGATTTTCAACACACAATGACTCCATGTGATAGAGTCGAACGGCCCTGCGACTCTTAGCATGTAATCTTTCCTGAGGCAAATTGTGACCACTTTCTCCCGCAGAGGGCTGGGCAGGCTTGAACTGTCAGCCATTCTGTTAGCAGCTCAGTTCTTCACCATTGCACCTTCTGGTCTTCCTTGTTTATGTGCTACTAACTGCTTAACAGGAACGAACGTTGTGCAGTCTACTTCCAGAGTGATACTGCATCAGGGACCCAAGGAGGGGTTGCCGTGAGTCAGATCCGACTCGATGGCAGTGAGTGAGTAAGAATGCTTAACAGAGAGCCTGGGGGGAGGGGTCAAAAGGAGCGCCGGGCAAAAGTCAAGTCAATTAAACACTGTGACACATTCCTTCCACCTCATTGTAACTAACTAGGAGGCCTGGCTTCATTGTGACATCTAATATGCAGGTTTTGGAAGTATTGTGCAACATCTTGATTGAAATTGCTATGAAATGTCTATGTCCTATTACACGTTGCTACAGGAAATTGGTCAGTCCTGCATCTAATTGTTATATTCAGAAGTAAGTGAGCTCAAAGGCGTACATGTATTTCATCAGAGCTGTCTTTTTTTTTTTTTTTTTTTTGATAAATGGTATTTTTACATAACAATGAAAGGGATCTTTTGTGTAAAATGTTGTTTTAAGGATAAAGCCAACATGGATCATGGAAATTGGTCTTTGTGTCAGCGTCAGGTTGTTTGTTGAGTGGCATTTAGTCTATGCTATGAGTAGAGACGTGAGCGTGGGCAGCCGCTGAGCCTCATCTCAGTATCTCAACACATCCTATCCTATTGATGATTAAGAGCTAACTGCACAGAAATAAGACCTCCAATAATGAGAACACAATTTAAAAGTGGATAGGTGACCTAAAACTTCACAACTGTTGTAAATGCTTGATGTCGGATTGTTGGTGTTCTTGTGTGTGCCGTCGTTGTTATCTGTGGTCAAGGTGGCTCTGACTCTGAGTGAGCCTATGTGCAGCAGAACGAAACCCTGCCTGGTCCTGAGCTGCCCTCCCAATCCTTGTATGTTTGAGTGCGTCGTTGCAGATTCTTATGTGTATTAGACATCACTCGTGATGACAACAATGATGAGGATCTGACATTGGACTCAGATCAGACAAAGCCTGTCAGGCACTTTCTATGTGTAGAAATGAATGGTTAATGTTTAGACTCCTTCCCCATTCATTAGACAAACTGTTCAGGGTCCCTGGGTGGCGCCAGTGGTAAAGCACTTGACCATTACCTGACAGATTGGCAGTTTGAACCCATGCAGAGGTTGCTTGGAAGAAAGCCCTGGCTGTCTGCTTTTGAAGGTTCCGAGCCTCAGAACCCTGTGGAGTGCAGTTCTGCTCTGAGCCACATGGGGTCACTATGAGTTAGAGTCAACTCAACGGAAACTGGTTAGAAAGGACTGCTGAGCACCTCCCGGCAATCATGGCACCAGGAAGCAGAGACATAGGAGGCTCTGTTTACGGGCTCCCATTCATGTGGGGAAATGTCTGTTAGCAGCAAATCGCACAACATCGTGATGAAGTGGGCTCACAACACAGGGTGAGATGGGGCCATGGGAGGGGGAACGAATGCATAAAAGAGACTCAGAGTTTCACCAAGGCAACATGAGGGGAAGGGATTCCATTCAAAGGGAGGAGAGCATTAATCCCAAAACCCACACCCACTACCGTGGAGTCCATTCTGACTCCTAGTGACCCCATAGGGCAGACGAGAACTGCTCCACAGGGTCTCCAAGGCTGTCGATCTTCACAGAAGCACATTGCCTCCTCTTTCTCCTATGGAGTGGCTGGTGGGTTCGAACCACTGACTTTTTGGCTAGTGCTTTAACCACTGCATTAACAGAGCTCCTGAGTAGAGCATTACATTGCACAGAAGTGGGCAGTATGTGGGCAGTATGGGTTACAAGCCTGCTAGAGAGGAGGTTGGGGAGTGGTGGGCACAGGACAGTAGAAGTCCAGGCTCTGGCCGCCTCTTCATGAAAGATGGATCCCACTGGAACTGTGTTTTGAGTAGGTCCCTAGGCTCTTCATGGGGTCTGGTGTGATTTTCCATCTTTCCTTAAATCAGAATCCACAGACCCTCCCCTTCACAAAAGTATGAATTCTCCTTAGAGAATGGAGCGAACCCAGTGATCATACCTTTCACTGAAAAATAAATCCAAGCACACAAAAGTATGCAACTGCACTAGGAACTAAGGTCTCTGATCAATAATTTAACATCTCTTTAAAGAATTGTGGCTAATTACAGCATGAATGGGCTGAGCTGAGATCCCATTTATCCCCAGGCCTTAGAAATCGATTCAGGGCCAGACAGGCAGGAGTATCCAGTGGCTCCTACTCGTCACCTTGGGGATGGCAGCTGCAGGAGCCGGGCCATCCCCTTCTCTAGCTTCTGTGCACAGGGGATAGGCATCACCTGCTTCCCCTCCTCGCTCAGCCCCTCTTTCTCCCATGCAGTGGGGCATACCTCCACTTCTTTCCAGAGAGGAAGGTGTTTTAGGACATGTGAGTACTCAGGTAGAAGCAGGGCCGGCATGGGAATGCTGTTCCTCAGACTACTATTAAAAGTGAGAACTCTGTTGTCTTTCAAAGTTTTTAAGAGTGAAGTTGCCTTCTCATAGACAGAAGAAGATATTTTTGCCTTTGTCCGGCAAAGCCAAGTGAGGAAAGAGTTTGCTGGGCCTGGGGACTTGTCTAAAAGTTGTGCACACAAAGCTTCTCTTTCGTTTAATGTCAAAGAGGCTGATTCTACAAGCATCACATTGGAAAAAATATATGGAGTCCACTTGAGCTCACTTTGAACATAAATGCATAAAACCAAAACCAAACCCACTGCCACCAAATAGAATCTGACTCACAGTGCCCCTAGAGGACAGAGTAGAACTGCCCATGGGTTTTCAAGGCTGAGAATTTTTATGGAAGTAGATTTCCTCATATTTCTCCCTTGCAGTGGCTGGTGGGTTCCAACCTCAGACCTTTGTGGTTAGCAGCCAAATTCATTAACCACTGCACCTCAGAGCTCCTTATAAAAATGTAAACCAAAAACCAAACCCCCTGCCACTGAGTCAATTCAGACTCATAGGGACCCCCATTGGATTTCCAAGATAGTGAATCTTTACAGAAG